CCTAGTTCTGCATCTCTGTTTTGGTATAAAGTTTGTCTTTATCATATATTTCACAAAACTTGACATACATCGCATTTACTTCCTTGCCTAGCAACAAGTCTGTCCAATTATACTCACTAAAAAAATTTCTAAGGTCACCATAATGTTCTCTCCTGAAATCAGGTTTTTCAACTGCTTCAACCTCCTTATTTTCTTCCAGATTATAACGCATTGCATACTTTATTCCCAAAAAGGCATGATCACTTTTACCCAAGGGAGGAAGGTACTGAATGTCAAATATCTCTTCCTCATTCCTGATAAATATCAAATCTAGCATGGAGGGAACGTCCCCTTCCCTCATCCTCTTATGTTGTTTAACATGTTGATACAAGAATGTTTCCAGGATGAGGTCTACAAATCTACAGGTCCAAAAATCTTCTGTTTTAGCTTCATATGCTTCCCAGTCTATGGATTTCAAGTTGAAGTCGCCGACTATCACCAGTCGTAATCTATCATTATCTGCTCTCGCTATAATCTCTCTCATTATTGTTATAAAACCTTCTCGTTTACTATCTAGCTCCTCCTCTGACCGTGTGCTGCTTGGTGGTGGACTATGTGCATTTATGATCATTAGTTTATCATCCTCATGGCAGATCTCTAGTACTATTATGTCAACTTCTGGTGGACTAGCAGTCATTATTTCCTTCACCTTTAGGTGTTCTTTCACCAGCATAGCAACGCCACCGCCTTTCCTAATTTTTCTGTCCCATCTCCAAAAGTGTGTGCCTGTTCTTGAGTATACTCTGTAAACATAAATGAGTTTTTGTGGTTCGGAAGGAGAACCAAGTGCGTGGCAGTTCCACTTATTGAGTTTGATAAAATATTTGCAAAGTTTCCATTGGATACGTATAGTCCTACCCCTTTCATATTGCCTTATCCCTAATGTGAAGTCCTGTGCTCTTGTTTGACATGTTGCTGGTTTCAAAACATCTCCCCCCACCCCCCTTCTCCCCTCTCCATGTGTTGTCTAATATTTTTGAATACACTGTACATATTTATGGTAAATGTATGTCTTGTTTGTGTGTGTGTCTACGTAAGTGTAAATCGTGTATTACATATCTCTGTCAGGCTGTCTATGTTAGAGAACTACCGTTTTTGCTGGCATATAAGGCACATAATTTATGAGGATATATTGTCAAAAAAAAAAGCGAAGTATATCTCATTGTATATTTATTGAAAGTGAGTTTTAAATGGTTTTGTACGGGAATTGTATGATTTTTGTGTATGTAAATACAATATATATTTTGAGGTAATGTTCTAAAATGTGTCTCATCTGCCAGCAAATAAGGCAGCTAAATAAAATAAGAATGGTTAGTGTCTCTACCTTTAGCCCATGAATTATAAAACGATACTATTGCATAAATATTCTGTTCTGTTTATACTGGTAGTGTATGAATATGAATTTATACTTCAACATATGTATGCATTACTGATGCACTAAAACAGCCTACTATGGATTGACATTTTTCGCTCGAAAGCCATAAATTAGGCTACTTTGTTATGAAGTAAGTGTTCTCTCCTGAAATAAAAACAGTTGTTTAATTTTTCTCATGAAATTACAGGCAGCGAGGCCAATTGACGGTCACGTGTACTGTTGCAGAGAACATTTCTTAAATTTTTTGTGTGTGTTTTGATTATTATTACTATTATTATTATTAATTTGAAATATAGATGTTTTCTGTGTTTTGATTTGTGATTACATGTTACACAATCATTGTACGCACCTCCAAAGGATACCTGATCAACCAGGCTGTGACTCATACGTCAGGCTGCGAGCAGCCGCGTCCAGCAGCCTGGTTGATCAGTCCGGCAACCAGGAGGCCTGGTTGACGACCGGGCCGCGGGGACGCTAAGCCCCGGAAGCACCTCAAGGTAACCTCAAGGTACCCCATCACTACTCACTGTTGTTCTGCCGCTGCCGCTCTCCACCCATTATGCCTTTCATTTTCTGTCGTACCTTATAGTTGTCATCTTTAGAATTGGTCTTCTCTCTCTCTCTCTCTCCCTTATATATCCTTCCCTCCATTATCCATTACTATGTTGGTTTTCAGGTTTTCTCAACATTTATGCGGCCTCCAGTTTTATGTATGTATAATATTATAGATGTAGAAACAGTATGTAATTATAATTTAGTCCCCTGTACCGTATCTTCATCTTTTAACCCTTAAACCGCTAAGCTATTTAAAACTTCTGGGTACAGGTGGGCATAAAAAAAGAATTGCATTGAAAACCCATTAGGATCACTTACATACACCAGTTTGAGCAGTGTAAGGGTTTTAAGTTATAATTATGTCTTCCCACTGTATCCAGTTTGGCTTTATTGTTACTGTATAGTGAAGGTTTTTTTTAGGCCATGTGTTCATTCTTTTGTGCTTGTTCACATCCTACCATGCAGTGCGATACTCGGGACATTCTGCGGAGTCTTCGGCGCCTCACCTCCGCAACTGCTTCCATAGAAAGTGTGAGGTTATAGGCACTTTTTTACAAGTCTCACTTGGTGTGGTAGCAATTTTGATCTAGTGTTCAATGTTGTGGCTGTTTCAATGTAAAATTTTGTTTGGCATCCCCAAATTTTGTAAACTGCTACAAGTTAATTGTACTGTACTGGCAGATAGTCTGTTAGCTGCTGCGAAGGCCATTTTATCCTTGCTTTGACTAGTTTCTCTGTATTCCATCTATAGTTCAGTTGTTAACAGTAGTTTTCATACTTTGTTGGGAGCCTTTTCAGTGCAAATTTCTGAACACAGTTGTTGTTTCGGCAGCTGAGTTATGGAGTGTTGTTAAACATTTGTCTGCAGCAGCGCTCCCCAAACAAGGTTCCTGCAGCAGTGACTGTGTACGAGATTTTCACACGAACGGCTCAGGGAGCAAAGTGAACTTTTTGCTGTGCAGCTTAGTTCGTGATTGCATAACTCTCTTATTTACAATAGCAATTATTTAACTTAATTTATTTGTTCTCTCGATATTCTCAAGTTTGATTTAGTGACGTCTGCTTGAGTGTTACCTTGTTTTTACAGAAAGTTGTGTCTGCTTGAGAGTTTCCTTGCATTTACGGAAAGTTACCTCTGCTTGAGTGTTTCCTTGTTATTACAGAAAGTTGTGTCTGCTTGAGTGTTTCCTTGTTAATACAGAAAGTTGTGTCTGCTTGAGTGTTTCCTTGTTATTACAAAAACTTGTGTTTCCTTGAGTAACCAGGAGTGTTTCCTTGTTTTACAGAAAGATTTACTAGTAGGTGACATGCCAGGATATTGTCTCTTCTGGCATTGTTCTCCCCAGTGTTTCCCTGACCCAGTATACTCTTGACCCAGTGTTTCCCTGACCCAGTATACTCTTGACCCAGTGTTTCCCTGACCCAGTATACTCTTGACCCAGTGTTTCCCTGACCCAGTATACACTTGACCCAGTGTTTCCCTGACCCAGTATACACTTGACCCAGTGTTTCCCTGACCCAGTATACACTTGACCCAGTGTTTCCCTGACCCAGTATACACTTGACCCAGTGTTTCCCTGACCCAGTATACTCTTGACCCAGTGTTTCCCTGACCCAGTATACTCTTGACCCAGTGTTTCCCTGACCCAGTATACACTTGACCCAGTGTTTCCCTGACCCAGTATACACTTGACCCAGTGTTTCCCTGACCCAGTATACACTTGACCCAGTGTTTCCCTGACCCAGTGTTTCCCTGGCCCAGTATACTCTTGACCCAGTGTGACCCCCCCCTATCCACCCAGTACTCACCTCCCCCAGTACTCACCTCCCCCAGTACTCACCTCCCCCAGTACTCACCTTCCCCAGTACTCACCTCACCCCAGTATTCACCTTCCCCAGTACTCACCTCCCCCCAGTACTCACCTCCCCCCAGTACTCACCTCCCCCCAGTACTCAACTCCCTCCCCGTACTCAACTCCCCCCAGTACTCACCTCCCCCAGTACTCACCTCCCCCCAGTCCCCCCAGTACTCACCTCCCCCCAGTACTCACCTCCCCCAGTACTCACCTCCCCCCAGTACTAACCTCCTCCAATACTCACCTCCCCCTGTACTCACCTCCCCCAGTACTCGCCTCCCCCCAGTACTCACCTCCCCCAGTACTCACCTCCCCCAGTACTCACCTCCCCCAGTACTCACCTCCCCCAGTACTCACCTCCCCCCAGTACTCACCTCCTCCAGTACTCACCTCCCCCAGTACTCACCTCTCCCCCAAGTACTCACCTCCCCCCTAAGTACTCACCTCCCCCCAGTACTCACCTCCACCAGTACTCATCTCCCCTAATACTCACCTCCCCCCAGTACTCACCTCCCCCCAGTACTCACCACCCCCCAGTACTCACCACCCCCCAGTACTCACCACCCCCCAGTACTCACCACCCCCCAGTACTCACCACCCCCCAGTACTCACCACCCCCCAGTACTCACCACCCCCCAGTACTAACCACCCCCCAGTACTCACCTCCCCCAGTACTCACCTCCCCCCAGTGCTCACCTCCCCCCAGTACTCACCTCCCCCCAGTACTCACCTCCCCCAGTACTCACCTCCCCCCAGTACTAACCTCCTCCAATACTCACCTCCCCCTGTACTCACCTCCCCCAGTACTCGCCTCCCCCCAGTACTCACCTCCCCCAGTACTCACCTCCCCCAGTACTCACCTCCCCCCAGTACTCACCTCCCCCCAGTACTCATCTCCCCCCAGTACTCACCTCCCCCCAGTACTCACCTCCTCCAGTACTCACCTCCCCCAGTACTCACCTCTCCCCCAAGTACTCACCTCCCCCCTAAGTACTCACCTCCCCCCAGTACTCACCTCCACCAGTACTCATCTCCCCCTAATACTCACCTCCCCCCAGTACTCACCTCCCCCCAGTACTCACCACCCCCCAGTACTCACCACCCCCCAGTACTCACCACCCCCCAGTACTCACCACCCCCCAGTACTCACCACCCCCCAGTACTCACCACCCCCCAGTACTAACCACCCCCCAGTACTCACCTCCCCCCAGTACTCACCTCCCCCCAGTACTCACCTCCCTCCAGTACTCACCTCCCCCCAGTACTCACCTCCCCCCGGTACTCACCTCCCTCCAGTACTCACCTCCCCCCAGTACTCACCTCCCCCCAGTACTCACCTCCCCCCAGTACTCACCTCCCGCCAGTACTCACCTCCCGCCAGTACTCACCTCCCGCCAGTACTCACCTCCTCCAGTACTCACCTCCCTCCAGTACTCAACTCCCCCCCAGTACTCAACTCCCCCCCAGTACTCACCTCGCCCAGTACTCACCTCCCCCCAGTACTCACCTCCCCCAGTACTCACCTCCTCCCCAGTACTCACCTCCCCCAGTACTCACCTCCCCCAGTACTCACCTCCCCCCAGTACTCACCTCCCCCCAGTACTCACCTCCCCCCAGTACTCGCCTCCTCCAGTACTCACCTCCCCCAGTACTCACCTCCTCCCAGTACTCACCTCCCCCCCCCCAGTACTCACCTCCCCCCCCAGTATTCACCTCCCCCCAAGTACTCACCTCCCCCCAGTACTCACCTCCCCCCCAGTACTCACCTCCCACCCCAGTACTCACCTCCCCCCCCAGTACTCACCTCCCCCAGTACTGACCTCCCCCAGTACTCACCTCCCCCCAGTACTCACCTCCCCCCAGTACTCACCTCCCCCCATACCTCACCTCCAGTACTCACCTCCCCCAGTACTTAACTTCCCCAGTACTTACCTCCTCCAGTACTCACCTCCCCCCAGTACTCACCTCCCCCCCCAGTACTCACCTCCCCCCCAGTACTCACCTCCCCCCCCAGTACTCACCTCCCCCAGTACTCGCCTTCCCCAGTACTCACCTCCCCCCAGTACTCACCTCACCTCCAGTACTCACCTCCCCCAGTACTTACCTTCCCCAGTACCCACCTCCTCCAGTACTAACCTCCCCCCAGTACTCACCTCCCCCCAGTACTCACCTCCCCCCAGTACTCACCTCCCCCCCAGTACTCACCTCCCCCAGTACTCACCTCCCCCAGTACTCACCTCCCCCCAGTTCTCACCTCCTTCCAGTACTCACCTCCCCCAGTGCTCACCTCCCCCTAATACTCACCTCCCCCCAGTACTCACCTTCCCCCAGTACTCACCTTCCCCCCAGTACTCACCTCCCCCAATACTCGCCTCCCCCAGTACTCACCTCCCCCAGTAATGACCTCCCCCAGTACTCACCTCCCCCCAGTACTCACCTCCCCCCAGTACTCACCTCCCCCCAGTACTAACCTCCCCCCAGTACTAACCTCCCCCCAGTACTAACCTCCTCCAATACTCACCTCCCCCTGTACTCACCTCCCCCAGTACTCGCCTCCCCCCAGTACTCACCTCCCCCAGTACTCACCTCCCCCAGTACTCACCTCCCCCAGTACTCACCTCCCCCAGTACTCACCTCCCCCCAGTACTCACCTCCCCCCAGTACTCACCTCCAGTACTCACCTCCCCCAGTACTCACCTCCCCCCCAAGTACTCACCTCCCCCCCAAGTACTCACCTCCCCCCAGTACTCACCTCCCCCAGTACTCACCTCCCCCAGTACTCACCTCCCCCAATACTCACCTCCCCCCAGTACTCACCTCCCCCAGTACTCACCTCCCCCAGTACTCACCACCCCCCAGTACTCACCACCCCCCAGTACTCACCACCCCCCAGTACTCACCACCCCCCAGTACTCACCTCCCCCCAGTACTCACCTCCCCCAGTACTCACCTCCCCCCAGTACTCAACTCCCCCCAGTACTCACCTCCCCCCAGTACTCACCTCCCCCCAGTACTCACCTCCCTCCAGTACTCACCTCCCCCCAGTACTCACCTCCCCCCGGTACTCACCTCCCTCCAGTACTCACCTCCCCCCAGTACTCACCTCCCCCCAGTACTCACCTCCCCCCAGTACTCACCTCCCGCCAGTACTCACCTCCTCCAGTACTCACCTCCCTCCAGTACTCACCTCCCCCCCAGTACTCACCTCCCCCCCAGTACTCACCTCCCCCCCAGTACTCACCTCGCCCAGTACTCACCTCGCCCAGTACTCACCTCCCCCCAGTACTCACCTCCCCCCCAGTACTCACCTCCCCCCAGTACTCGCCTCCTCCAGTACTCACCTCCCCCCAGTACTCACCTCCCCCCAGTACTCACCTCCCCCCAGTATTCACCTCCCCCCCAAGTACTCACCTCCCCCCCCAAGTACTCACCTCCCCCCAGTACTCACCTCCCCCCCAGTACTCACCTCCCACCCCAGTACTCACCTCCCCCCCCAGTACTCACCTCCCCCAGTACTGACCTCCCCCAGTACTCACCTCCCCCCAGTACTCACCTCCAGTACTCACCTCCCCCAGTACTTAACTTCCCCAGTACTCACCTCCTCCAGTACTCACCTCCCCCCAGTACTCACCTCCCCCCCAGTACTCACCTCTCCCCCCAGTACTCACCTCTCCC